AAGGAAGGAAATGTCATTGTGTGCATAATGGGCATAAATCATAATTCCTATTATATGGGTGGATTTTGTGTCTATCTTGAATAATCATATTGGATTGTTGTTTATTCGGTATCTTATTTCATTTTAAATAGCTCGGTTATTGGTTGCCCAATATTCATGTGAGGATGGTTACGTAGACGATCCTACCTTCTGGCGTTAAATTGATGTGATTAGGGTTGTTATTCAAGTCGAACTGAACTGACTAGCCTTCGTTTAAGTTGTACTTGTTGACATCCGAAAAGAAGAGCATGTTCTTGTTAGAGTAGAATACCCAATGTTCCAATCAGATTAGATACATTCTACTTGTAAATACAATTTATTGAAATTTATATTAAATAAAAGGCATTACTTTATCTTATGTATTTACATATATTTGAACATATGATAAAGTCCCTAGATCATTAAAAACTATAAGGTATGGTTACGCATTGGATGGTAATCATGGAAGATGCCTTGAAAGTTTTGATCTTAAAATAAAGTTCCAAGTCGATGGTTATTTCGAGATGGGATATCGAATAACCCGGTAAGACTTGCACATATGATGTATGCTTGTTGGACAAGAATGTTGCACTCCATCAACATTAGCGTTGGACGCAAATACATATATGTGGGTGCTTGTTAGGGAACAAGTTCACTGAGCATGACCGTATGAAGATTCTTAAATGAAACTTTTTACTGTCGAATAAGAATTTTCATGTTGCAATAGTACATGATTGATCCTCTGACTTGAGGCACGATAGTAATCTTATGCATATTGTGCTTTACTTTGATTTATCTTTTGATTGTTGGACAATCATAAAAGGGATATTTTGGGTACTGTATTAATACGTATGAAGGTTTATCTGTGGCCAACAAAGAATTCGGCACTTATAAAGATAAGTGAATTTCCTATGTTTTTCATAGTTTGTGATTCAAAGACCTTGGCCAAGGCGAGATGAATATGGATTCATAAAGGAATCACTAAACTTGAAATGGAATCATAGTTATTAAATCAAATGGGTTTCGACTAAAAATTCATACCCAAGGTTTAATCGGGAAATTGGATGTCGAAAGGATTTTACATGTATGGACTTGTAATCTAAAAGGTTTACTCGCTATTCACTTAATACTAGATGTTCCCATGAAATGTGGGTTCTTGAAATTAAGGAGTTAATTTCATGAATAAGAATTAATTAGATTAATTCAAATTACAAAGAGTTGTAAAACCTACTACTAGTATTAATAGTGAACCTAAAAGGTCACACCAATTTTTGAATGAAGGCAAAATGAAATTAGTATTTCTAAAGAGTTAGAATTAATTGACAAATCTAATTTTGATTAGATGTCAATTAAAGGAATATACTAAATTAATCAATTGGATTGATTAATTTTATTTTGGATATTAATTAAATAATTAATGGAATCTATACTTATATTAAAATGTATACCATTTACCAGATTTTGTATAAAGAAAAGTCAACAACATTTATTGGATTACTATTTCCGTATTATACAATCTATACTTATATAAAAGGAGATTCTATTGACTACATTTACTATCCAGAAAAGCAACTGCATTAAATGCCATTACTATTTTAGTATTATAATATTTTATTTATTTAATTGATTTATTTATTTGTTTTATTTTAAAAAAATAAGTATAATAAAAAGATTTTAATAATAAAAAAATCAAATACCAAATAAAAATGTACATTTTGACTTATTTGATTATATTTGGTATTTGATTATACCAAATATATTCCTATTTAGTATATACATTAAATACTTACTAAAGTATTTATTTGTTTTATTTGTCAAAGTTAAGTATAGATTTGTTTATATTATCAAATCACAAAAAAATATTAAATTAATATTGTAAAAAAAATCATATAATTTTATAACAATTCTATTTTTTTTTTTCGAAACGATAGGGATATTATAGATCAAAACGCACAACTGTGCACGAAAGCAGCCCATGACTGAATAATACAACCAGGAACTAGAAACTGAGAGGACGGGTCAAAACCGCCTAGAGTCTCGCTAGCCACACTAGAAAAGAAAAACACCAACTACACTATTTAACAATATTTCTTTTTTATTATATAATAAAATAATAATTAAATATTATATGGTGAACAACAATAAGTAAAACTGTTACTTTCTCTTATATCAAGGGATAAATTTATATGCTACAATTAAATTTTTATTAGTATAAATGTTTTAGTGGGATAATATATTAATTATTT